GTTAGACTTCGCGTCCGGAGGAATGCAGGTATTCCCTTCAACAACCTGGTTTTGCTTCGCCTGTTGATATGTCTCGGTCACATTTTACGCATGGCACCTGAGCGCTTGCCGCGCATTGCTTTATTCGCACGTTCAGGACTGGTCTGGAGTCGACTGCATGACAGTCAGTTTTCCACTTGGCGACAACACATTAAATCGCCGTCTTCCTGTATGGGACCCAAAGATGAGGAGTGTCAGTGGCTTAACACGCCTGAGGACGTGGCCTGCAATCGGAATCTCGTAATAGTCGTATTCCTTCACTTGAACTGCTTGCTATGCCTACATTGAGTCCCACACTATACTTTCCGCGTTTTTATTACTTTTAACTAGTTGAACACCACTAAGCTTCTCCGGGATATACATTGTGAAATTCAACATTTTTTCTCCGTCATCCGAGTATATTGTACGTAATGACCAGACAGCACATTTGGTCCGTGTTTCGCACCGTGAAGAAATATACGATGTCATATATATATATATATATATATATATATATGTGTGTGTGTGTGTGTGTGTGTGATTCGGACCAAACTGTACATATATTTTCGTAGATCGATGTATTGCACTCCCGCCGTGAATCGGCGTAAATTTAACATTCTCTCCCTCGGTACTGTGGTGAAACGTACTGAGCTGGAGAAGGCGATGGCTGCACGCCTGTGTGATGTGGACTGCATAGCCACAGTGGGCGACCTGTGGCACCACATTCGCGATCAGGTGACAGCTGCTGCCGAGGAGACCATCGGGCGCGCAAACTGTAAGCGGCCTGATTGGTTTGATGACAACAATGTGACGATTGGCGCATTGGTGTCAGAGAAGAATGCAGCATTTGCTGCACATGTGGCAGATCCCAGTGACTTGGGGAAGAGTACTCAGTTTCGCAAACTTCGACGGCGACTGACCCGAGAGCTCCGTCGCATTAAAAATGCATGGTGGACGGAGAAGGCGAAGCAGATGGAATGCTACGCCGAACGCCGCCAACACAAGGAATCCTTTGACTCCTTGAAGGCGGTGTATGGACCGAGATTGGAGCCGCTGAGGACACTGATCGATGGTAGTTCAGGCGCTACCTGCACCCAGACTGCAGACATAACGCAGATCTGGCGGAAACACTTTGACTGTCTCTTGAACAACCGTTCAGAGATCGACTGGCCTACATTGAACGGCCTGAAGTAGCACGATGTGAAGGCGGATCTGGCGGATACGCCGACACTGGATGAGACGCAGAGAGCACTTGCTCAGCTGCGAAACGGCAAATGTGGCGGAGGTGACGGGATCCCACCTGAAGTATTGAAACACGGTGGACCCGCGTTGTTGACTGCGTTGCACCACTTGATGCAACGTGTATGGATTGAGGAGGAGGTGCCTCCTGAGCTGAAGGATGCCCTTGTGCTACCACTGTACAAGGGTAAAGGTAGCAAGCAATGTTGCACGAATTATCGTGGCATCAACTTGCTGAGTTGTGTGGGCAAGGTGATTGCCCGAATCCTGCTCAATCGCCTCGTGAGTCAGGTTGTGGAACCTAACGTGGCGGAAGTGCCATGTGGATTCCGTTCGGGTCGCAGCACTATAGATATGGTGTTTGCGGCTCGTCAGTTGCAGGAGAAGTGCAGAGAACGACACCAGTCATTGTACTCGCTTTTTGTTGATTTCACCAAGGCATTTGATACGGTGAACCGCGAGGCATTGCGTCTGATGTTGGGTAAGTTTGGTTGCCCGCGTAAGTTTGTAAGTTTAATTGAATGTCTGCACAGTGGTATGCGAGCGCGGGTGCAGCTGAGTGGAGAGACCTCGGATGACTTTGCAGTTGTCTCTGGTGTGAAGCAAGGCTGTGTCTTAGCTCCTGCCCTGTTTAATATATATATTCATGCAATGTTGTCTTGTGCTTTTGATGCGGCTTGTGCTTACGGTGTTGGTGTGGAGCACCGTATTGATGGTGGGTTGCTGAACATCCGTCGTTTCGGTGCGAGAACTCTAGTCTGTGAGACAACTATCCGTATGTTGCTGTTTGCTGACGACTGTGCGTTGTTTTCACACAGCGCGGATGAGTTGCAGCACATGACTAGTGCTCTGGCTTCGATAGCGGCTAAATTCGGCCTCACCATCAACACCAGCAAAACCGTCTGTCTCTTTCAGCCTTCACCGGAGGTGCAATCTTCAATATTGCCGCGAATCAGCATTGGTGCTGAAGTATTGGAAACCACCTCCCGCTTTAGCTACCTCGGGAGTGTGATATCGACTGATCAGCAGCTACACGTTGAGTTGCGTATTCGCGTGCCGAAGACGGCAGCGGCATTCGGGAACCTTGAGTACCGAGTGTGGAACAACCATCAGCTTAGCATTGGCACGAAGCTGATGGTGTACAAATCCATGGTACTGTCCGTTCTTCTATACGGCAGTGAAACGTGGACGATGTACCGTCGCGATATGCGATATCTCGAGCGGTTCCATCAGCAGTGTCTGCGACGAATTTTGCGGATCGGTTGGGGCGCCAGAGTCGCAGACACGGAAGTGTTGCGCCGAAGTGGGATGTATGCAGTGGACAGCATACTTTTACTGAGACAGCTGAGATGGCTCGGTCACGTGAGCCGTATGGATTCGGGGCGGATACCGAAACAACTTTTATACGCTCAGCTGAGTATTGGGAAGCGGCACGTGGGGAAACCAAAGTTACGTTACCAGGACATGATTAAAGTGAGCCTCACACGTTCTAATCTTGATTGCAGATCATGGGAATCGAAGGCGGTTGATCGGCGTGCATGGCGCGATCTAATCACGAAGGTAGTTGCTGAAGTGCGGGAGTTTGCCCTCATGCATGCAGAGAAGAAGCGGCAGTTGCGGAAGCGGCAAGCACCGATGAATTGTACTCCATCGACATCGAGCGCATGGTGCTGTAGAACATGCGGTCGCGAGTGCCTTAGTCAGGCAGGCCTAGTGAGCCATGAGAGAGGTCACTCGGGACCACTGCCGAAGCGACGACGGGCCCCGCAGTGAACGTAGGCAGCACCGGCGCAGCGTTTGTAGGCACGCTGAATTCGATTTACTAACCGCGTGCTTGCATGCTAAGTCTCTTTATTTCAGGTGGTGGGTTTTCGGTTCTCTCCTAATGCTTTTCTTTCTCATATAAATGTCTAGTGGGCCATGAGCTAGGTCTTTTGGGGCCACTACAGAAGCGACGACGGGTCGTACAGAGAATTACGGCGAGCCGGCGCAGCGTTTGTAGGCACGCTGCATGCGAGTTACTAACCGCGTGCTTGCATGCTGTCTCTTTATTTCAGGTGGTAGGTTTACAGTTTTTACCTTAATGCTTTTCTTTCTCATATAAATATCTCACTGTACTCTATTTCATTAACTTGCACACATCGCCTAAGCCAATTGCATTCGATTTCCATAACATTTTTGTGTTCGTGGCATTCCGTGAACTATACTTCCTAACCTCGTGTACTTAGCTAGGATCTGTTTGTAAACAACTTATCACATATGCTATTTACTTAAGGTTTATATCACCGTTTCCTTATAAATTAATCGAGTTTTTCTCTTTTTCTTTCTCACTCTCTCTCTCTCTCAAGTGTTTGGCTGTTGTTTGATATCCCCTGTGTGGATGCGCTTGATGTGCATGTTGACAAGGTGCCTACCTGTCTATTACCCACTTCCTCGTCCATACTGACTCCAGGAGACAGTTGGTCGTTGCTGGAGGGGACAGGGTGCACAGTCCTTGTGGCCGTGTTAGGATCAAAGAGTGATTCCATGCAGTCAGTGTGGAGCGGACTACGGTCCAGCCACCGCCTTGTGTGCGCTTGATTTCCCAAATACAGTGTGCTTGTGTTTGCCTGTGAAGGAGTGTGGGCCGGCTCCGTTGATGAAACGTGGTTCCCATCCGCATGCCTCCCGGTCTTATTCGTTCGGGTTTACACTGGATATGGGGTATGTGGTTGGAGCTGTGAGTGGTGCAGCGCAAGCCATCCATGGTCCCTCTGTAGGCGCAGGCGTCCTGTGGCTTGCCACAGTGACAGGCAAATCCGAAACCGGATGCCGCCAACTATATATATATATATATATATATATATATATATATATATATATATATATATATATATATATATATATATGACATGCTTTATTCGTACCGCTCACGGTCTTCTGCTACAGCTCTGAAATTCATTTGAGCTTTCTGCTAATCCGACGCACATAAGCTGTGTTTCACAAGGCCAGTGAAAGTACGATCATATCCATCGTTTAGGTAAAGTCTATTCTACATGACTCTGTCGTCAAGGTTGCACGCATATGGCCGATTAGGTATTTCCCGAATGGAAGTGGATCTTACTCGCAACCCTACTCTTTGAATGAGTCTCTCGGGCAGCATGGGATATCTTGTACGTGTAATTTCATCACTGATGCCCGGCAGCCCAAGTGAATATGCAATCGTTACAGCTACACAACAGCGGGTTGTGTAGATTTACACCAGACGGACCTTTGAAGAGATGTCGGCCGATACTTTACAAGGGGGTGTGTTTTTGATGGTTCCTATTTACTCTTGTTCTTTGACATCAAATGAGGTAGATGCTCCGCGCCGTTGACGAGTAAACTGGACTTCAATCTATCCGATGAGTGGTTCCCTTGAGCCAAATCCACTGTTCCACCCCACTGGTCGGGGTGGCGAACTACATCTAACTCCGAAGATTGTCTTCTAACCGCTTTTCGTTTACCATCCCTTCAATTTGCTCATTAAACTCACTTGTCCGAAAGGCAGCCTAACTCGGAAAATATTGTGAACAAATTAACTACTTTCTCACTTTCTGATTTACCTCCTAAACCAGTGATTTACCGTTTATTTACGTCTCAACCTAGGTCCTAGATTCGTCCCGGATTATATTGCTTTTTCTACTGGAGTTTGCAGTGAGTTCTTTTGGCCGTGTTGTAAATGGGTAGATAAAACCGTATATGATGTTTGTCTCCCTTTCCAGCGTCCCTTACATAGAGACCAGCGCCGCCACTGGGTATCAGGTAGCTGCCGCCGTAGATCTCCTTCTGGATGCCGTGATGAACAAAGTGGAGGCCTCACTGATCAAGTCACGTATCCACAACCCCACCACAGATGCTGTCAATTTGTCCAAAGTTGCCAACAAGGGATCCAGCTGCGCATGCTAGTCTGTTACATCCGTTTCACACTTGTCCAAACTGCTGGCCCCTCTCGTACTCATTTTTGCGCACTCGGTAAGCAGACGTATTCTTTCTTTGTCAGTGCAAGATTGCATATTCAGCCCTAGTCCAAGTACACGGCCATTCAAACGCTGGGTGGTCAGTTCCTTTACCAAAGGCCCATGGCTTTAAGAATCACAAGCCTACCTTTTAATCCCGAAGTCGCGGGTTCGAGCATGGTTAGAGGATCGGGTGACCCTCGCAGTATCCTTAGCCCACACGCAACTGTACTGGTTACACATCAGCGTAGCGATGGTACGGCGTACCTTTTATCAACTAATCAACCGCTGTGTATTTTCGGTACATCATTTTTTCAACATTTTCGTGACCTTTGCTTTCGCTAATTTTATTTTCAGAGCATCATCTTTTGAGGCGAATGCGCATTTAACAGTCCAACTGTTCACTCGATCAGCCTTTTGGTGCTGATGGTAATCACGATCATCCTGTGGAGCAATGTGTTTTTGACTGGTCGACTAATTCATTCACACTGTAGCTGCAGGATGTCACAACCGCGGATCATTGTGCAAAATCTTCGTTTAACGCCGAGTATTTCATTTGCCTGCTTTTTTCGGTGCAATGGCGAAACCTTCATAGGGATCATCCTCGCCTCTTTTGTAGTTCTGCCTTCACAGCAGACTTGGATTAGCAGCGCTTTAAGTCGGTTGCCCAGGGGCCAACCAATAAGGGTGCGTTGCGTCCAGATTCAGCCGATGAGAATGCATAGCATTCAAAACCAACCAGTGAAGGTGAACGGTATGCTCGTTCAACTTTTGGTATGAAGGACGCATTCAGGAAAGTTGTTAAACCTTATACTCAACGTCATTACTGCATCAAATGGTATGCCTCTCCATATTGAGGCTTTTGTTTTGGGGAGTTTAGCTGGGCCGAGATTCGCAGCACTAGGATCGCATCAGCTGCGTTGTCAGCAAAAAGCTAACATGTGGTCTTTCGTTTGGTGAACGGAAGTAATTTTTTGTTCCCTAGTTGCATCTCTCAGACTGGTTTCTCTTCCTTGAAAGACACATCGACACTTTAGCCTTACGGCTTATTAATCGCTTCTACTATCACATCTCTGAACTGCCTATTCTATATAATCTAGCTTGCGCGTCTCCATTGTAACGAGCAAACGATATCAGTACGCTTCTCTGACACAGAGGTACGATATCCAGAAAAGCCCAGAATCCACTTTCAAATGGATTCCATGGTTTGCTGACTCCTATTATCATGCACACTTTTGTCATCAGGTGTTTATAACTTACGATTTGGCTTCCTAAGCTGTATCCACTGCACTTTTTTGAACACCGCATACTCCACGCGTCACCCTAGTACAAGTTGACTAAACAGTTCTATGTTAACCGCCCAAATGATGACGTGGCAACTTGAGTACAGAAACCGACCGGCAAACTTATTTGTGCCAGCATTTACCACGTTGCTGATGGGAACTTTTCAGCTAGGCTATTTCGGCGTTTCTGCATAGGAATCACTTTTTCCAATCCCGTTCGCCACATTTGTGTTCGCTAGTTAGTTTGCTTTGTTCTCCTTGTCGTTTTCTTCGTTGTTCGGTTTGCGTCATGATGATTAAGCTCATTGCGTTTCGTTGCTTACCTGAGCTCAGCCGGTGGTTTGGGCTCAGCTTGATAACACCAACTACAATAAAACCTTCTTAGGTTGATTACCTAAGGGACTGGTCAGCATAGAGAGTTCGTCAACACATGGAGGTCATACACAAAACAGCGTGCCTTAATTTCCCCTATTAAATTTTCTTTTCACTTACATATTGTTTCGAATGTATTACATGAACTCTTAACTGATAGAAAACACCATCAACTCATTCAGTATTATAATAAAGGAAAGCGTAATGTGGGTTCCTCAAAGTTAACTGATTTTCAGAAAGGTTAATCTTTGCTTCCTTCTCTTATCACCAACATAACTGAACAGGTTATGTTGGAACTGGTTAGTTGAGGAACATTTATTTTCGGCATAGACATGTATGGCTCGAGAAATGAGCAGTACAGCAATTTGCCAAGGTGGCACGAATGCCCCGACAAATTAAGCTCAATAAAAGCTCGGGGAACTCGGTCAAGGACCGTACGCCCAGTATGTGTCAGTGTTTGTGTTGTTACAGGGATTGTTTTTTGTGGACTGCACCTCGCATGTAAACATCCTACGTATGATTCGTCGGAAGGTGAAAATTCACAGATCGAAAATATCCAGGGTCGAAGCTCTCAATGACAGCAGGTGTTTTGCTGACGCGGGATGGATATATCCTCTATTGTTTTAGATGAGCGGATAATGTACAATAAAGGAGGTTATAGGGAGTACAGTTTGTGCATAGTTTCTGATAGCTGCTGCGTGAACACTGACGCCGTATTTATCCATTTTGTTTTGGTAGAATGGGGTCATCCGGTTTGCGTCACAGACAGCAGTATCCATCACGTAGCTAGTAGCGTCCGAGTAGATGCATAGATCTGGTTTGATGTAAGTCCTTTGGGTGGGGATGCGTAGTTCTGGGATGACTGTAGCTCCCCGACGGCGTAGCATCGTTGCAACTTGATTGGCAATGTCATTGTGCCGTTTGCAGCGTGCATAATGGATTACGCTGCAAGATTGAAGCACGTGAGAGCTTGACTCGTGTTGCTCACATGCACCGTGACAATTAAGATTGGATGGAGAACGCGGTGGCCTATCTCTGGCTCGTCTGACTTTTGTTGGAAGGACGCCTGCGCGTAATTGAGTTGCCCTGACAAATAGGCGCGGGAAGACGCGTGCAGGTTGCCGGAGCCATCGATGTGCAATTTGATGCGTGAAAGCTTGACGTAGAGGAGATCCGTCAAGGGTAGTAAGTAACTACGTCTTAGACTAACACTCGAGCTCCTATTTGCGACCTGTACAATGAGTGGGCACATGTTCCAAATGTCGGCATGCTACTACCTTTGTATGAAGATGTGTGAGCTAGAAAGTTCACACAAAACGGATGAGGATTTGTGTGGGGGCACATTGTACTAGCTAAGCACTCATTCGAGTAAACACTGAGGAGCGGGACAAAGTGTACACGCGCATACTTGAACAGAGAACGCGCCGTACCGTCAAACGTCTGCGACATCTGTAGGTCGAGAGACTTACATTGCAAAATCCGGCTACATACACATTATTATGTGAACAAACGGGCCATCCGGCGACCATTGGACAGTAAACTTTTACATGGTCAAATTACACTGTTTAAACTAATAGTGACGGTCACAGTTCGTGTGGTAAACATACGACTTGCAAAGGTGATCAGCATACGGAGGTCTGTTTCCATTGGGTTTACACACTGAATGGTCAACTTTGAAATAGTCAAGATATGAAGGTGGTTGTAGTGTATTTTGCCGGTTTCAGTTTTGGTGACGAACAGAACCGTTCTACCTTAGGTCGCCTTCAAGTCTCTCGGCTTGGGGTTCTTTGAATTGCCCACTTTTTAAATGTAGGGATCCATTTACCAGACCTATCTGTTTACGTCCACTACTACTGCGCTATGTGTATGTCCGTATCCATTTGCAGGGATCTCACTGGTCTATCTGGACTGTCATTGTTACCACGTTCTCCATTCATTCCAAGCTACGCCTCCAGCTATTCCAATTGAGACAACTTGCCCTCTCTGTGTGCGAACGGGTGCCCCAGTTCCTCCCCCATCATAAGTATGCACGCATGGGATTTGTGTTTCCGCGACATTGTTGTCTCCATTTTTTGTGATCTCCCTAAGACGAATCACACATTCCTTATGGACTGTCGTCAGAGTCTAATCTTGATGCGCTGTTTTGTCTTCTCTTGATATGTCCTTCATTATTTTGATCCGTTGGGATCTGTTTACACTTTCACATGACATTCTTTTGGTAACTAACTTAAATTTTGTCACAGGGTTTACAATGTGATGTATCGCAGAGTACTCTTTATGCTTCTTGACTTTCGTATTTCTCCTTATTGTGATTGTCACGTTGTGTGTGTAACGCCTGATCTTGATCAAGCATTTTCTCTTTATTGAACTACTTGTATCGTTTATCACTTCGTCCTCGTTTGAAATTTGAAATTTTCAACTAACGTGCGCTTCCCATTTTGCTGTTCGCCTCTGTTGGCTAATTCTTGGGGGACTAGCACGCGATGCTGATAATGTGCCATCTCGACGGTGCACCGAGCTTATCGTGACTCAAATTCCTTCACTTTGTTACGCCCTTTTTGAGGCTCATCAAGGAACGCTTCACTAAGCTTATCCTCTTCTCGTTCCCCGCAGAGACTAATTCGTGTTGCCCGTTTATTTCCCAATCGAGTGACAGTGAACGACCATCGTCGATTCCTCTCCTGTTATGGGAGCGCAACTCCATACAGGATCACTCTAACGCAAGTTACGTCCACTTGCACATGAAACAAATGCTCCCACTCGTATGAACTCAGATATAGTTTGAAAGCTCCGCCTCCGCTTTACTCAATTTCCACGCAAATACTCGCGCCCCTTTGGAGTCATACGTTGTGCTACGCCCCCGCTTTCCCTGTGGCTAAATTTGGCGCATATCGGCCTATTTAAAATGTCACAAATCCTCAACCTATGTATGTGATCGAGGTTGCTCGACTTCTTATTCGCGTTTTGCCGGGTATTCATTTGAAGGCGTATTTTACCTTGGACTCAGGTGCGTCGATGGTGAGCATTCGTATCCCGCGTGTAGCCGTCAATCCCCCATGACTGTGGCGTTCATACCGGGGGGTGCAATTTGTGGGGACCATGCCTTTCATTCCGACTGGGACGGTCTTTACCACTAGACAGGCATAGCATTACTCTCTCTTTCTCTCTCAGCCCCATGCTGAGGCTGATGTTGCATTCTTAATGCTACTTCACCGCAGTTTTGCTAAACCAACTCATATTTAAACTGGGTCTTTTTAAGCTGGATAAATTTCATTCCCCTTTATTTGGTTTGTTCTGCCTACCTAACTAATCTTCTATTAATTGGCTTAATTGGCTTACGCTGATTGCGCTTATCTTCGGTAACTTTGTTGCGTTTGTAGCATTTTTAAGTAACTTGTGGACATTTACTTACCGCGGATTCGTTACTAACCAACTTACTTCATATGGTAATTTATCGAAGAGTTATGCCACCGTATCTGTATGCATTATTGGATTTATTTTACTTCATTTTGTCGTTTAATGTGAGTGGCTGTTGCTTGATATCCCCGGTGTGGTGGCGCTTGATGTGCATGTTGACAAGGTGCCTACCTGTCTATTACCCACTACCTCGTACATCTGGCTCCAGGAGACAGTTGGTCGTTGCTGGAGGTGACGGGGTGCACGGTCCTTGTGGTCTTACTAGGCTCGAAGAATGGTTCTATGCAGTCAGTGTGGAGCGGACTACGGTCCAGCCACCGCCTTGTGTGCGCTTGATTCCCCAAATACAGCGTGCTTGTTTTTGTCTGTGAAGAAGTGTGGGCCGACTCCGTTGATGAAACGTGGCTCTCATCCACATGCCTCCCAGTTTTATTCCTTCGGGTTTACACTGGATATGGGGTGTGTGGTTGGAGCTGTGGGTGGTGCAACGCAAGCCACCCATGGTCCCTCCGTAAGCGCAGGCGTCCTGTGGCTGGCCACAGTGACAGGCAAATCCGAAACCGGATGCCGCCAACCATGTATGTATTTGTGCCCCAGGCTCAGACTGATGTTGCATTCTTGATGCCTCTTCACCGCAGTTGGGTTAAACCAACTTACACCTAAACTAGGTTTTATAAGTTGGATAAATTTCATTCCACTTTATTTGGTTTGTTTTGCCTGCCTATATATATATATATATATATATATATATATATATATATATATATATATATATATATATATATATATATATATATATACATATATATATACGATTTCCAGCCATTCAAAACCATGAGAATTCAAATGGAAACAGGAATATGTACAACGATGCCAAAAAGTGGTTTAGAATCAAAAGAACCATTTTTTCATTCTCCTTTTTTCATTTTCTTGCTAATTCGTCATAGGTTTATACTTTTGAAATCGGGTATTCACGCAAACTTGCGCGCGTTTTTTCCACTGCAACCGCTTTTATGCCATTTTTCGAATGTTGTAAGCCATCGGCATTCTTCCTCTTTCCACCCTCAACCGAAAAGGCGTACCGGACCAGCAATCATTAGGCAGGATATCCTCTATCCTATACTTTGTCGTCACGTACTCGGCTTGACTTTTCCAGTGCAGCCGTGCATGCACAACTAGGCCGCGACGTAGCAATCGTTCGCAAACCATGCGTAGGATTTGGCCAAGCCATCTAAACTGGCGCAATGAGACATTCTCATAGAGCAGGAGATTCGCCTTGCCAGAGACGGGTAATCTGATAGCATCATTGCGCACCCGGTGTTGCCACCTTACACGGGCGACACTCCGCAGACACACGTTCTCGAAGGCCAAAAACCTACGCATATCATCCACTCGGATCGGCCAGTATTCACATTCGTACAAAATTATCGCGCGAACACGGAGATTGTATACTATGCCCGTTATTGAAATCATGATATCGCGACCGCGCCACAAATGTCTACAATTGGCAAAGACCGAACGGGCTTTAGCAATACGGAGATTCACCTCCTCCCCAATAGCTCTGTCAGTAAAGATACCGCTCCCAAGATACATAAAACTACCTTCTCAAACCGACTGTTTTCGATGACGAGCCGAGGAAGAGCATTTTGCCAGTCTTGTGCCAATGCTTTGAACCTTGAGGAGGCAAAGCAACTACCATACTTAGCCGCTTCAACCAGCGGTCGGTGAAGGATCGATTGCGTACCATGTGTGTCGTCACAGAGCAAGGTAATATCATCCGCGTAATATGAGCCCGTTGCACAATTACCTAGAAGTAGTTCAATTCCAGGATTTCAAAAATCCTCTGAAGCTCCTAACAGGACATCTTCGTTCGCGAAGTTGAAAATGCTTGGAGGCAGTACATCCTTGTTGCACACCACTGGTGACAGGGAAAACTCTGGAGAGCTTGCCGTAGACTCTTCCCTGTCTGAAGTATGGAGGCATAGCGCTTGAAGGATAGCGATATACTTTTCCTAGATTCCGTTCTTTAATAACCAGTGCCATTATTGTGATCTGTCTATCGAGTTTAACACAATCCGGATGTCCAGGAAGACGACGATCATGTGTCTGCAGTACACGTGGCGATGTTCGAGGAGCTGACAAAGCGTAAATATTTGTTACACATTTTCGGCCGAGGCGGAAACCAGTGTGCTCTTCCCGATAGTGCGCCTCGCGAACTGCCGATATTCTGCTCAACATGATGGACACTAGCAGCTTGGAGGCAACTGGTGTCAGGCGTATTCCTCTGTGGTTGACACATAGCGTCCGGGAGTCTTTCTTGTGGACTGGGACAATAACTGACTCTTAATGAAGAGGGGACCACTTTTCTCTCTCCAGTTGTTAGCTGAGTGACAATTTCCGTACCACCATGCTTGAACAGTTTTTGAAGAAGCTCATGTGTATCCGTAGCCTTAAAGCGCGACATGTGTCTAATCTCAAGGCGAACTTCGGCCTCAATGGTTGATCCGGGGGACACGGCCCAAGGTGTACGACTGGGCGATCTGAGTACGAAGTTGAACGATAGGGAAGAACTGAATTGAGATTGGAAATGCTCAATCTATCTGTCCATGCGCTTCTGCTGGTTGGTGATTTGTAACCCATCCGCCTCACAGACACCAGACTTGTGACTAGTGGTCATAATGAACTGAAACAACCTGCAAGTATTACCAGAGAGGGCGGCGGTTTCTATCTCCGAGGCCTGTTGAGACTACCAAGTTCACGATCGCCAGGAAGATTTCGTTTGGGTTGAAGCTGATAGCGCGGCGAAGTTTATTCGTGTCGAACTTATGTTAGAGTGTTCGGCGGCGGTCGAAAAGTGTCAAGGAATGCACGGAGATCTAATTGTTTGTGATTGTGATGAGGGAATCCACATACCAACTGGCCAATATATAGCATCGTATTCATCTGGAAGTTCCAGTACAGTTCGACGTCACTGGGAGGAGCACAAGCTAAGGCATTTGCTAACGACAATTTGTGATTCAGCTGAGTCGACGGATCGGCTGCTAGACTGTTCGTATCAAGCTCACAATGTTTCTCTTTGGAGGGACCTCCCAAAGCGCATGCAAATGTTCGCACAAACCAGTGCGTAATCAGAATCAATATCATCCTCATTATAAACGTCAGCTAGAGATGGGAAACACCTCAGCTGCTGTGTCGCAATACATAAAGGAAAAGGAAAATAAATACAACAGTTGCATGCCAGCTGAGCTACCAGCAACGGATAGCCATCGTTCCGGTAAGCTACCAGCCGGCTACTAGGCAAAAAGAAATATTATTATGTTTTACGCTACGAAGTGACATCGTAGATGGAGTGGGAGACTAAAAGGGATGGGGAAGGACAAAGAAACTCACAACAGGAACGCCACTGAGGTCGGCTCCTTGCCACGTCAGCTAGTGTATCCAGCCAAACGTGCTCATCGTCTTTTGGACCCCAACCAGGGAGCCGTGACGCTCCAACCGAGGCCAGCTCCGAAGTGAGGGTCTTCATTCCTCTTGACCAAGTCATCGCTTGGCCACCCCTCCTCTTCTTCCATTCACATCCCCTGTGAACAAACAACGCACGTCGTGGAAGTCGGTGGGCTGGCATGCATAACACGTGGCCGAGCCATCGGAGCCTGGTGCGTGAAATGACGATGCTGAGCGGTTCATTTCCTTTTCCTGTGCCGTAAACAAGGCGTCGACCATGCTCGTTACTCACTCGATGTTCCTACCGGATGTGAGCCAAACTGCGAAGGCACCGATGGTCGAACGTAACTAGCTTCTTTATTTCCGCCGATCTTAGGGGGCCAGGTTTCGCAACCGTACAGTAAGGTCGAACGTACCGCTGCATTGTACACTCTACCCTTCAGGGCAAGAGTGATGTCGCGCCGCCGCCATAGGTGGCGAAGGTTAGCAAAAGCGCCCCGAGCTTTTGCTATACGGTTCGTGATCTCATCTTCAATCCCACGGGCGCTGATACTACTTCC